TCTATTCAAATCGAGTGAACATGGATCAAACACAATCGAGTTACGTTACAATCAATCGTTCAATTGGTTAGTAATTAAATGTAACTTTAAATACTAATATCACAAACTACTCAATCATATAGCTTTTTTTTTAATTTGCTGTCATTATTTCGTATAGGTCATAACTAACTAAATAATATTCTTCCAATGTCCTTGCACAGATGCTGCCAATAGTGTACGAAAATAAATCATTTCCAACATATACAGAAAAATTGACGAATAAGAAGAAATGTATTATATCAAGTGGTTTTATTTTTATTTTTTTTACAACTAAAACGAGCGGCATTAATTAAATGTGGACTAATTGTGGTGTCGATTCTATATTAGACGTTAATATTGTTATCTTTGTACAATTATCGCTACATAATTATAAATGAATTTTATAATAAAGAGGCTATTTTGTTATTACGACAGATGACGTTGAGTATTATCACAATGGTGCATCTACATCATGTGAAGATCCATTCCAAGTTAAAAAATCCTATTATGAATAAAATAAAAGGTGCGATCTTATTTTTTGTGAGTAATTTTATGTCTAAGTTTAAATGATTAAGTGTGCAATACATGTAGACAATATATCAGTTTTTTCTTTAATTTCGATAGAAGCTGAATGTGTACTATTTTGTTAGTTGTACCGTGCAGAATGTAAAGAAGATGTCAAGGAGTCATAAGACAATAGACTCTGTAACACGTGTGTTGGATATGAAATCAGTACCCGCTATGTTGGTAGATGAGGATTTACAGACGGTAAGAGACATTTCTTCCGACAACGGAGGTAATTATCTTTGTCATTATCTCATAACGTATCTCATTATTATGCGTTATTGTCAGTATATTTTTCTACTATAATGATAATTTGTTGTTTTGACACCGTATACCCTACGTTCAGGGATGCATGTTATGTGTTGGGCTTGTTAGATGACGACAAAGAATATATAGATGCAATAATAGAAGTGAATACTTGGGCACCGGGGGATTATATAAGAAGGTTATTTGTAGTTATGCTTATTTCCAATAGCTTAAGTCGGCACGAACATGTTTGACAAAGTTGTTGGTTGGATTTGGCGGAGGGTATTGCTTACAAACAACAACGTCTTCATAATAATCCAGGTATGGAAATTTGTATAGCACAATATTCAATTAGATTTTAAATATTACTTATTCTTTTAATATTGTCTCTTTACGTTTTGAACTAAATGCACATAATTTATCCATTTTTTTTGAAGATTTACATATATCGGATGAAAGCTTGAAGAACTATACTCTCACCGAAATAGAAAAAATATTGCAAAGCAATGGTAAAAGCCTGCGAAATTACGCGCCCATGCCAGTTCCAATCGAATTCTCAATCGGAGGACACAGTAAACTTATTGGTGTTAGATGAACTGGATTACGGCCGGTTTGAAATGGGTAGGGAACTTCAACGCTTGCTTGAATTAAAGACGAGCAAAGAAAGGTTTATGATGTAGTCATGGATGTTGTATCCAACGACCGTGGTGGAATGTTCTTTCTATATGGCCATGGTAGAACGGGAAAGACGTTTCTATGGTAAACTCTTTCGGCTGCAGTTTGTTCTAAGGGAGAGATTCTAATTAACGTTGCATCGAGTGGTATAACATCGTTATTTTTCCCCGGTGGAAGAACAACTCATTCTCGATTCGGACTACCCATAAATGTACACAAGAGTTCCACATGCAGCATATCGCAACAAAGTCCACATGCGGAGTTGCTCATAAGGGCAAAGCTTATTATATGGGACGAGGCTCCTATGATGCATAGATACTGTTTTGAAGCGCTTGACAAGACAATGAAGTCAATATTACAGGATGACAAACTCTTTGGTGGTAAGGTGGTTGTTCTTAGAGGAGATTTTAGGCAGATTTTACTAGTTGTGCTCAAAGCATCAAGGCAGGACATATATAGTACATGCTACGATAAACTCCTCTCCACTGTGGAATTTTCTTCGTGTCATGAAGTTGACTAAGAACATAAAATTGCAGTCATGATCTTCTCCATCTAACATGGATGAGGTAAAAGAATTTGGAGACTGGATACTGAAGGTTGGTATGAGAATGTTGGGGAACAAAATGACGGTGAAGCTTCGATAGAGATTCCCGATGACAAGTTGACTGGTGATTCAGAAGATCCATTCAGAGACCTACTGGAATTCGTTTACCCGAATTTGTTGAGTAACGTGTATGATCCAGATTATTTTCAAGGGAGAGAAATTCTTGCACCAACTAATGAATGTGTCGAGTCTGTGAACGATCACTTAATGTCTCTCCTTCCAAGAGAGGAGAAGTTGTACCTGAGCTCGGATAGTATGTGTAGGGACGAGCAAACAATGGGGGATAATGCAGAAATTTATTCGACTGAATTCCTCAACAGAATAAGATGCTCCGGACTTCGTTCTCATGCGTTGAAGTTCAAGGTTGGTGCACCCGTTATGCTAATAAGAAACATTGATCAAGCTAGAGGATTGTGTAACGGGACCAGACTTCAAATTATTAGAACTGACATTCACGTTCTGAGTTGCGAAATTCTTTCTGGAAGAAATATCGGTGACATGGTGTTCATTCCTCATATGACTTTAATACCATCTAACTCCGGACTGCCAATTAAATTTCAGAGAAGGCAGTTTCCGTTGATTGTTTCTTTTGCAATGACGATCAATAAAAGCCAATGTCAAACTCTTTCGCATGTTGGTTTGTATCTTCCTAGGCATGTCTTCAGCCATGATCAACTATATATTGCACTGTCCAGAGTTACGAGTAGAGGTGGCATTAAGATATTCATCAAGTCGGATTCGGGTGAACTCACCAATGTTACTAGAAATGTCGTGTTCAAGGAAGTATTTCATCGAATTTGAAGGTAGAAAATATTTTCATATTTACCAATTATTCATGTAACATGTCTTTTTGTTTTTTTAACAACTTATTCTTTGGCAGGTGTTTCTTCTCTATATAATTTCTCCCGTGCAATGTTATTTTCAGTCATGTCCCTAGGATGCTCAGTGCAAATTTTATTATTTTTAAGATTTATTTTTGACGATATATTAATATTTAATATTATTCTTATGATGTAACTATGAAGAACATGATACTTAAAACATATAATATTGGTGGTCGCGTTTTGTATTTAAATTCAATGAACGTAATAATTTATATATGCGTAAATTTGTTTTTCAGACATGTATTTCCAGTTGAAAATATGCCACCCCGTTCATCGCACGGATGAATACTAGTATGTTATAATTTAAAATAAATATTATTTGCTATTACACAACTGACCTTAAATAAAAAGTTAAAGCGAAAATGAGGAAAGCACGCGCCTATATTTTTCTAGTACCAATAAAACATAAAAATAATTAAAGTTCTTTTGCCACTTGAACTCGATTAGAACTGCAAGTTATTAATTCTTTTTTTTGGCCCGTCGACCGTCACCGTATTTTAACGGTCCCGATAGGAGGGGTTCTACCAGGGACAAGATTGTGTGGTCTCATTCATCATCGGGGTTGTTCACGGTACGAACTTGCTATCATGCGATCTTGGAGTCGAGCCGGATGTCGGCCAATGGACCGTTGAGTGGTTTACCAACTGGCGATTGGAAACATCTTTGGCATCTTCAAATCCCGCCAAAAATTAAGGTTTTCTTGTGGCGCGCATGCTCTAACTCCCTTCCAACAAATTTGGAACTTTATCGGCGGAAAATTGCCTCATCTCCCTTTTGCAAATCCTGTGGTAATAAATTGGAATCTACTATCCATGTCGTGTCAGGCTGCATGGGCGCCAATCACGTGTGGGAGAGCGCACCCTTCCACATTACCCCAAGCAGCGACAATATGCTTTTTTGTAATTGGTTTGATACTCTTAAACGAGAATTGGATAACGATAAATTGCTACTTGCTGCTGTCGTTTGTTGGAAATTGTGGGAGCGTAGGAATAAGATTAATCATAATGAAGAATTTATCAAAATGGAGGACGTAGTTGGATGGTGTGCAGCGTATCTTCAGACGTATGGCGATGCCCAATTCCAAAATATTAACATTCGACAGTCGGAATTCTCGGATAAATGGATGCCTCCGCCTGTAGGAGTCCTTAAGCTTAATGTGGACGCAGCCTTCCCCCCAAACTCGGAATTTTATCGGGTCTCCTTAATAGCTCGAGATGATACAGGAACATGTGTTTGGTGGCAAGTCCGACGTGTGTTGGGCAGGGTGTGTCCATCGGATGGAGAGGCTCAAGCAATTCTCCAAGCTCTCCGCACAGCTAAGGTCCAGCGCTGGGGTGCTATCACCGTGGAAAGTGATTGTTGGCCAGTTATAATAGATGTTCTACAGAAACGGGAACCGACTCTACGGTCATATGGGGCGATCGTCGATGAATGTCTTTCTTATTTTAGTAGTTTTTCGTTTTGCTCTTTTTCGTTTGTTAAGAGACAAGGCAATTGCCTCGCTCATCGTTTAGCCGCGTCTTCGAGTTTGGACTCCATGGAAGGAACTATTCTTCCCACTTTTTTGGCCGATAGTGCCTAATAATATCTTATCTTCCTCAAAAAAGAACTCCTATTCAAATTCTACTAAAAAATGTCAACTTACCAAAAATCGGTTTGGTCTACCTTTTCCCATTCAAACATTACACACCTTTGATAACATTACGGAAAAAACAGTAAAAAAGTACTCCTTCCGTCCTATATTGTATGTTATTTTTGTGGTTCCACACGTATTAAGAAACTTAATAAATATGTATAGATTATAGCAAATCAATATTAGTAATATTAAATCACACTTGTCATTAATTGTTTTTCAACTAACTAATTAAGAGTAATAAAGGGTAAAATTGAAAAAAAAATCAATTAGTGCTTTCTTGCAATTCTATTAGATTAAATTAATCATCTATTAGATTATGACCATGAAAAAATAAATTGATGTAATAACCTTTTTTTTAATTATATGGAGATATTACATATTATTCTTGTAATAAAACAAATTAATAATATCTCATTCAAGTATGACTTTATTTTAAATTATTGCAATCATTCCCATGCCTATATAATAAACGATAACCAGTGATGCTTAGTCATATTATTGCAGTGAACAACCGTAGTAGATAAACTTAAAGATATCTTCCATGGAAATCAAAATTTTACCTTCCCTTCTTCTTGCAACAATTTATTTCTATGGTAAGTTATTCAGGTCACTCAATTGAAATCCATAATACTCAATTCATTTTTTTTTTCTTGGATAGAAACTTCTAACATGTACTATTTTCTTTAATTAAAAAAAGAAAAGTTGATAACAATTAAATTGAAAACTCTTGCAGGGGCTCATTCAGCCGTCTTCACGGTGAAAAACAATTGTGGGTTCGAAATTTGGCCGGGAACAGTAACCGGAGCGGGTTCAGCACCGGTTCTAACCGGATTCGATTTGGCACCCCAAGCCTCAAAAACCATCAATGTTCCAGCTCCTTGGTCAGGAAGATTCTTCACTCGATACCAATGTTCAAACGCTGGCAACAAATTCACCTGCGTGAGCGGAGATTGTGCATCGGGTCAAATCGAATGCAACGGGGCGGGTGCAATACCGCCTGTATCTCTCGTTGAATTCACTCTAGGAGGAGCCAACGGCCAGGATTTCTTTGATATCAGTCTCGTTGACGGTTTCAATTTACCGGTTTCTTTGAAACCCGATGGGGCGAATTGCCAGACTGTTACCTGTGCAGCTAATATTAATTCTGGTTGTCCTAGTGAATTGGTTGTTAAAGGCCCGAATGGAGATGTGGTCGGTTGTAAGAGTGCTTGTGTTGCTTTTAATGAGCCGCAATATTGTTGCTCCGGCGCGTTTGCAGATCCGTCGGTGTGCAAGCCGTCGAATTACTCGGAGATATTCAAGAGACAATGCCCCCAAGCTTATAGTTACGCATTTGATGATAAGACCAGTACTTTTACGTGCCCGACTGGGGCGAATTATCTTATTACCTTTTGTCCTTAACTTAGATTAATATATTATTTTCCGAGTTCTAATAAGGTATCTAGAGAATAAATTGGAAAATATTGTTCGAAATATAATGAATTTTTTTTTTGAGACATGTTATGCATGATATTGTTCTTGAAATTATTGCATGAGTTGTTCAACTTTAAAATAAATTAATTCTCATGCTCCTCTTATTGAATAAGCACACAAATTCGGAAAGAATAAGGACTTCAAACGTGATCAAATCAATTTTTATTCTGAATTTGCAAAACTCAAAATATAGAATTTGTGTTGGAAATTATTGAAGTATGATTCCATATTTAAATCAAGTAATAAGTGATGATAACATAATCTACGCTTTGAGTAGATGAAAATGGTGTATTTTAGCTTTAACTAATTGTAAAAACCAATGGTGTATTTTAGCTTTAACTAATTGTTTATTTTTTTACGATATCAAATTATTTTATGCTACTGTACCATAAAAAAATGTAAGTAATAAATAATTTTGTTTACAAACTCGTAAATTTTTTCATTTAATATACATAAATCAAAATGAAAAATCAAATAAAATAAAAAAGTAAATAATTTAAAGAAGTAACAAAATAGTTAAGCAAAACTCGTGGTCCATTTATTAATTGAAAGAGTTGTTAATAACGGAAACAAACAACCCACTTTGATCAAAGCCCATAACATTGGTTTCTTCCCTATTAATATTTAAACATTGCATGTACGCAATTAAATGTTTATTAATATATTTTGTCATAGAATTAAGTCAACACTTAATTTTAAGTAGTGGAGGTGTCGGGTGATGTTGTTCTTCAATGCATACATATTATCTTTCAATAAAAAAAAAAAAACATTCACAGTAAAAATCAATTTATACCATGGGAATCAAAAAAATTCAGTCCCTTGTTGTGGCAATATTCTACTTCTGTGGTAAGTTATTCCTGTGATTACTTATTTCAAATCCACACAACTTCTTTCATTTTTTTTTAATTTTCTTGCAAAAACTTCTAAACAAGTGCTTTTTTTTCTTTTTTTTTTTTCTTCTTTTAATTGTTTAAAAGAAAATTATTTTATTTTTATTAATGTATACTATCCTATGTTACTTAAGAAAAATACAAATATAAAATATAAAAAATAAAAAATCACTATCCCTATATGATAAGTTTCAAGAATAATAAATGCAAAACTCAAACTGTTTTTTTTTTTGGAACCAAAAAAAGTTATTCTTAACAAATTATATGGAAAACTCTTGCAGGAGGAGCTCATTCAGCTCTTGTCACCGTGAAGAACAACTGCGGGTTCAATATCTGGCCAGGAACACTAACCGGGTTTGGTTCACCGGTTCTAACAGGTTTCAGTTTGGCACCGCAAGCCTCCAAAACCGTCAACATTATTCCATCTCCATGGTCCGGGAAATTCTGGGCTCGATACGAGTGCTCGATTTCCAGCAATAAATTTACTTGCCTTAGCGGAGATTGCGCGTCAGGCCAAACCAAATGCAACGGGGCGGGTCCAACACCGCCCATAACTCTGGCCGAATTCACTATAGGAGGAGCCAACGGTCAAGATTTTTTCGATATCAGTCTATTCGATGGTTTTAACCTACCGGTTTCAATGACACCCGATGGAGCAAGTTGCCAAACTGTTACCTGCGCGGCCAATATCAACTCCGATTGTCCTGATGCATTAGTTGTCAGAGGCCTCAATGGAGTTGTGGTTGGTTGTAAAAGTGCTTGCGCTGCTTTTAATCAGCCATACTGTTGCACCGGCGATTTTGGTAGCCTCGACACTTGCAAGCCAACGAACTATTCAATGTTATTCAAGAAACAGTGCCCGCAAGCATACAGTTATGCTTTCGATGATAGGACGAGCACTTTTACGTGCCCCACGAGAGCGAACTACCTATTGCCCTTAAGTAATTAGTTTGATATATTAAATATTTTATTTATTTATTTTTCATTTGTAATATGGTCCTAAGACAATTTCGTTCTAAATAATGCATGTTTCTAGTATGTCGAAACATGTTACGATATTGTTACGTACTTGAGATCATTTCATGAGTTCTTGAACTACTGTGAGATATATATCGTTTACTTGAATCATAAACTAATGTACATTTGTATTAAAATTTAATATTTGCACTAACATCTAAGGAGTTACGATTTGTTTTTTTTGAGAACTCCTTTTTAATGTTTCAAATGTATATAATATGGAAAAATTGTAATTTTGGACCTCTATGTTGGCAAATTTAGGAATTTAGTCCTCTAGATTGTCCCATTTCAATATTTCACACAATAACTTTACAAATTTAGCATTTTTGGTCCTATTTTGCTTGAAATTTTAATTCTACTAGTTGATAAATTATGTGGCTAATAACCTCATCGTCATTTAGTTATATGAATATTTATAGATTTTAAATAGGCATGTAACTTGGTTTACATACTTGTCATCTCGCATATCAAAAACTATATAAGTTAGATGATGAGATTATAATTTTTAAAAGTCCGTATGCAAAATCCGTAAAATTCGTTTGCCATATGGTAACATTTGATTTCAAGCGGTTAAGAGAGGACCAAAAATGCTTATTTTGCAAAACTATTGCATGTGAAATTGGAACAGGATAACTTAGAGAACTAAATCTCTAAATAAGCCAACGACATAGAGTACCAAAATTACAGTTTTCCCTATATAATATTTTTTTACGAGATATATATATATATATATGTGGCCGTGCTAAACCCCACCCCCACAATAAAATTTACTAAATTGCCCACATAAATAAAAAAAAAATCTATATCCACTCATATTCTCTCTAACTTCTCTTTATGATGATCTTATCCAAGTCAATCAAAATTCGTTAATTTTTCACGTGAATAATCATAAAAAAAGAGTTCAGTTTTATTTAGTATTTATTAAATTTCATTATGCCTTTTTCATTATTCAAATTCACATCGATTCGAATTTTTTCGTCAAATTCCAACTTTATTTTAGTTTGAACACGTGAATTTTTTTCTCAAATTCGAACTTGAAATGCTAGGAACGTATTTAGTGGGTGACTTTGTGAAAAAGTTAGGGGAAAAAAAGAAGGGTGGGGAAGAAGAGAAGATTTTAGATTAAGAAGGTGTTTGGCTAAACTTATTTTAAACAGCTGATAAGCTCTTACGTCTGATAAGATGTTTTAAGAGCTGATAAGCTGTTACATCTTATTTTTAGGATTAATTTTTAGAGTGTTTGGATAATGGGCTTATTTTCTATTTTTACTCATTAAAAGATCTTAAATAAAAAGGTGGGGTAGAGGTACTTATTTAAAAAGATCTTATTTGCTCTCCAACAGCTTACTTTAAAAAAAATAAGATCTTTTTCTAAAAATTTACCAAACACTTTAAAAGAGCTTATAAGCTCTAAAACATCTTATAAGCTCCTTTTAACATCTTATAAGCCTAGCCAAACACCCTCTAAGAAACATTTTCAGTTGTTTACATGATTTGATAAAATTAGCGTGGGGATTTAGCTTTCCAGATATATATTTTGCTCTAAACTTTGCCCATTATGTTATTCAACTCCTTTAACTGTTTTTCAAGTTTAGCTCACCATTTTCCTGTTGCAATATTTCGTAAATTGGGGAAAGTTCAACATTTTTGTCAATTAAATTTATAGCTATATTTAACCATTCTCTAGTTATTTAACCATGCGAAATCTTGAACCGTAGAAAAAGTACCTATGTTAAAAAATATCATTGAAACCTCCCTATAGACTTTTTTAAATAACACACACGACCCATTTGCATATTAGCCTTTGACCACACGTGAAAAGACAGTAATACCCCGGATTTTTTGGCTATTAAATATAAATACATCAATTAAAAAGAAAAGAAAAAAAAGCATCATCTTCCTCATAAACCCCTGCCGTCCCTATAAATACAGTAGAATAATATACAACTTATCATTAAATTCTAATCTTAAATTTAAAACAATTCTTTAAACCTTCATAAGTATAAGTAGATTGTAAATTAAAAAATTATCTCTTTAATTTAAGAGAAATAAAAAATAACTAGGACTACATTGCAAATTTTGAAAACTTAAATAACCTTTGACGTAATTTTGGTGTACGACCAGACCACAACCAAGCCTCCCCGTCATCTTTGTTGTCTTTTTCCTTTGTTTTTATTCAGATTTTTCTCCCATTCTTTTTTCTCCCGTTATGGTCGTTCCAATCTGTTCCAACCCGTTCCAGCTGCGACACGGCCGTTATGTGTTTCCATCTGTAGGGAATCTGCTGCGAAATATTGTAAATAATTCGTCGGATAGGCAAGGTGAGGCGCGGACTAGGTCGCTCTCTTAAGACGAATTTCACGATCCCTTCTCGATGAGGTGCAGTAAGGTCGCAATCGTGTCGCCTATGGGATACAACAGCCCACCCTATCTCGTTGCTGTAGCTTCACAAGAAACCGCACTATCAAGTGAAGCAAGAAGCTTGCATCCGACACTTATAAGAACCTAGAAGATAACAATTTAGTAGGTAAAGAGGAGAAGTTTTTTGCATGGAAAAGTGAGTAGAAATGAAATCAGCATAGCACCCTTTTATATGAACAAAATTGGGGCCGTTTTATTTCTGAAGTAAATGGTATAATTAAAAACAGAATAATTGCCTTTGAATTTTGAAATGCTGATTTGTAACTTGCAAAAAACGTATGTAGCCTTTAAATATAATTTAATATTGGGTCAAAAACATTGAAGTCAAGAGACTTAAAAAACCATTTTTTTTGTAACTGACAAATCTTCACATTTGTCAGCCGAATATGATTTGAAAATTTCATATTTATTTATAAAATATTCCAACACCATCTCGCCCGTCCTGGCGTTATTCTGGTGTTCCGGCGCGTCACGGTGCAAAAATCGATTTGGTTAGGGAACGGTGCCCTCCGTTCCGAAATCCCTAACAAAACCGATTTTTGCACTGTGATGCGCCGGAACACCAGGATAACAGCAGGACGGGAGAGATAGAACTACATAACGGCCGTGTCGCAGTTGGAACGGCTAGAACAGGAGGAAAAAGAATGGGAGAAAAATCTGATTTATAAATAAAGGAACCATGACTCCCGAAAACACCCGCAGTGGTTTTGTGCAAGCATCTTCGCCGGAAACCATGGTCGTCATCTTTAATCTCCAGCGGTGGATTTTGAACAATCGTGAATTGAAACCCTAGATTCAGGATTGGTGATTTCAATATAATTAAGTTCAATTAAACTTCTAAATTGACACTGAGGTGGTCGTGGTGGCGCCGGAGAAGATGGCTGTAAGACGAAGTGACAAATGCCATGGCTGTTTGTCTGCACCATGGTGTGTGGTTTGGGTTTTTAAGAAATTATAAATATTACAATTGGGTCCCTAAAATTTAAACTATTTATATTTAAAAGTTGAATTATTAATGAAATGGATAGAAGGGTATTTATGTATTTCCTTTCAAATATCCTATCACCAGTCGCACAAACCACGAGTGAAATACACGAAGTCGATCTAGGGGGAAAGTTCAAGATTTCACAGGGGTACTTTTTGCAAAAAAACTCTACTTTCACTATATTTACATGCTCGTAGGCCAAGATGACTGGTACTATCGGTACAAGAGTCTATTCTATGCTACACCGAATGAAATACATCGGATAGATCTTAACCATTCATATACCTAGAAACACACACACACACACCCATATTGGTATTTGTAGATCAACGGTAAAAAATCATCCGATGTAGTTTTCACCGGGTGTATCCTAGAAATAACCCGGTACAAGAAAAAATGACATTTAGTGACACCTCAATTGTAATAATGTCAAAGTTAATGACATTATAATGTGATGTTGAAGAAAAAGGAGTTACTATAGGAGTTAAAATGTTATAAAATCATAAGGGGTACAAAAGACATTCGCATAAGATTAATTATTTATGTTTTGAATAGTAATTATTTGTAATAAGGGCGTTTTGCACAATACATAAACCATTAAAAATTCAATTGTGTTATTGGGATACATAGCGCGTTTTAATAGGCATATCTCATATAAATTGTATTGCTAAGATGTCACCCTAAACAAACCATATTTTAGAAATGTCGACAACCAAAAGTAGAAGAGATTTCCTTAATCTTCTAAGAAAAAACTAAATTGATGTAATAACGTTTTTAAATTACAAGGATATGTCGCATATTATTCTAGTAATGTAAAATCTAATAAAATATCATAAATGCTCATTAAAGAAATAATTGTTTTCCATATTATTGTAATCATTTCCATTTCTATATAATAACCAAGAACCAATGCTGCATAGCCATCTTATTATTGCACTAAGAAACCATAGCACATCAATTTAAAATATCTACCATGGCAATCAAAAATTTACCCTCCCTTATTCTTCTTGCAGCAATATATTTCTATGGTAAGTTATTTCTCTAACTTATTTTAAATAGAACTTCTTTCCTTTTTTTTGTTTTTGAAAAACTTTTGAAAATGTTTTTTTTGGAATTGGTAAAATAATTTTATTTTAATTGCAATTATTTTAAACTCTCCTACGTTTATAAAAATAAACATAAAAGATAAATTTGAGTAAGTATGCAAATAACTTGAACTCTTTTTTTTCTTTTAAGAAAAATCTTAACAATTATTTTAAACACTTGTAGGGGCACATTCAGCAGTTCTCACTATGAAAAATAATTGCGGGTTCGAAATCTGGCCGGGCACACTAACCACATCGGGTTCGCCGGTTCTGGTTCCAACTGGGTTCCATTTGGCACCACAAGCTTCAAAAACCATCAACATTTCATCTTCATGGGACGGAACATTCTGGGCTCGATACCAGTGCTCGAATTCCGGTAACAAGTTCACATGTCTGAGCGGAGACTGCGGGTCGGGTCGCATCGAATGCAGCGGAGCCGATGCAATACCACCGGCATCTCTAGTCAAATTGACTATAGGAGGAGACCTTGATCAGGATTTCTATGAAATCAATCTCAGCGACGGGTTCAATCTACCGGTTTCCATTAAACCCGACAAGGCAAATTGTCAGGCAGTAACTTGTGCAGCTAATATTAACTCTGCTTGCCCTAATGAATTGGTTGTTAAAGGCCTGAACGGTGTTGCGGTTGGATGTAAGGGTGCTTGTATTGCTTTTAATACGCCGCGATATTGTTGCTACGGCGATTTCGGTAACCCGCAAACATGTCAGCCGACGAAATACTCCGAGATATTCAATAAACGGTGCCCTCAGGCGTATAGTTTTAGTGGTGATGATGAGAACAAAACTTTTAGGTGCCCGACTGGGCCGAACTATCTTATTACCTATTGCCCCTAAGTACATAACTAGTTTGATGTATGTGTGTATTAGATGTTCTTCTTTTTTTCTTCGTAGTTGTAATAATATTGCAAGGGAATAAGTTGGAATAACATATTAGGACAAATAATCATGTTGGTCTTGAGATTATTGCATGTGTTGTTAAACTTTAGAATAAATTAATTCCTCTTATTTCAGTAAGCACGTTTGTTTTTGGATGAATGGTTAAGACGTTATTGGACTCATTCAGATATTGTAACCTAACACGCTTAATGACTAATTTGACAACCAATAGGAACCGCCAATTTTCTGTGCTTGTCGATCGACATGCTAAAAGATCGAATTAATCACCCCCAAATCTCATGAATTATTTGATTTATCAATAGGTCCGAAACTGCATTATGAAACACTAAATAAATAGAGTGTGTAGTGAGAATTTTGAAATTGCTATCATCTGTGAGCCATGGATCCCCAATCGCCCTATTTTGCCCATTCCCATTACGCATTCTCACTTCCCGCTCAGAGATGTGGATGTGCCATGAATGATGCGCCGACGGTCGTGTATGAGGGATGTTTTGTTATTGATGGGATTTTCGGGGGAGAAAAAAAAAAGATCTTGTATTGTCAGTCATTTTACGTAAGGGAGCGATTAAAATTAATACTATTTATTGAAACGTAGCATATTCTAAACATATTAGGGTGGAGAGCAACCATAGAGCATTGAAGAGATGGTTGGATGCGTCCACGGGTGGCTTTGACACATTTTGGGCACACTATCACTCACAGATGAAAGATCAATTTAACGAGATACTAGCCGAATTTGCAAAGTCAAAGAGGATTCGGGCCGAGACGATCAACGTGCGCGTATTTAAAATATTGTCCAGTGGAATTGTAACACATACCGCTCTGAAGATGTTGGACGATGAGAAGGATGAAAACATAGACGGTTGCGTCTGTTATACGAGGAAATGTCTTGGCCTCCCGTGCAGACATGAAATTTGTGCAAAGGTGAATGCACGACGTGGTGTGTTTTACGCAGATGATGTCCACATTTTTTGGAGGACATTTATTTCGGGCTTCGGGGATTCCCTAGATGAAAGTGTTGGTTCTGTTCCAGCCACTTTGTGTATGTGAAGATGAATGACAATTGTCCGCTTCCTCCGTTTGATAGACAGTGGGCGAGGTATAGTAATGATAATGTTGCATGTCCACTTTGTGTATAGTAATGATAATGTTGAATAATAATAATAATAATAATAATAATAATAATAATAATAATAATAATAATAATAATAATAATAATAATAATAATAATAATAATAATAATAATAATAATAATAATAATAATAATAATAATAATAATAATAATCCTCAATTATTATATTCTACTTTTGCACGTACTTTCGTAGAGAAAATTCACCACAACCAAACATATTCCCATTTCTACACCTACATAAAACTAAAAATATACCCATTCATCCAAACATATTCCCATTTTCTACACAAAACCCAATAATCTACTTTTTCCATCAAAAATTTTAAAAACTAGAAATTCCCATTGGAAATATAACCAAACATCCCCTTAATATCTATCTATTATCATTTCCCCCAAAAAAGTTAAATTTCGCAAACATCTATAGTAGAGAAGAGAAAAGTAAACTATAAAATTAAGTTTAAATATGAAGAACAGAAAAATATGGTGTTAATAAATTTGAATTGAATCTCAGGATGTGTTTTAGAAGTCACCCTTATGTGTTTATGTATATTATATATTAAAAGAAAATTGGAAAAAATTGAATATTCACCACTGTCTTGCACCTTACATGAAGCGAATAATTCAACTTTTCAAAAATATAAAATCGTACATACGATTTGCTATTCGAAACAAGTCGATTTTTCTATTTTCTTGCTCACCCCTACTGAGTGCGTACTTATAGTAACCACCGATGATCAAAGGTTAATTTGGGCGCTGTAAATTTTGGCACCATTTTCTTGTACACATCAATTATATATATTGTTACGACGAATTACTAAAAATTTTGCCACCCCCTCCGAAAGAACCCGAAAATGCCTATTTTTCTATTTTACGCATGCTCTTCATATTTAAATTAAACTATTGAGAAATACATAAATGAAATGCCAAATATACAACATTAATCATTCCAAGTGCATTGAAACACTTAACTGCTACATTTCATATATCATTGAACTATAAAAGACTTCTCATTATCTAACTTAAGACCATTTGCAGATTGGTTTTCATGGTTATTATTATCGGCATGGTGCAAAGCGATATCTCGTATAAGCTGTGTAATGCTGTGGTACGACGACCCCCCTTCCTCCGTCGCAGTTTTCGCCATTTCACCGAGCTTTCGAGCTCTCTCTCTCCTCTCTCTAACTTCTTCATCTTCACCATTCATAAACTTATGAATAACCATCTTTATGTCATCACTCTTCACCTGCACTCCAATCATTTCTTCTTCTCCAAACAGCACCGGCAGCTCGACGCCCACTCTCACTCCCGTCTTTATCACGCTCACGATGAACTTCTCGTTGCAAAACTGCTCGGCAAATACCGGCCACGTCATCATCGGCAGGCCAGCTGTGATTCCTTCGAGAGTCGAGTTCCACCCGCAGTGCGTCAGAAAGCCTCCCACCGACGGATGTGAGAGAATCAGCACTTGTGGGGCCCACCCTTGGATCAAGAGCCCCCTTTCGCGGACCCTTTCTTCAAATTTCTCCTCCAACAGCCATTCTTTCAACTCGGCCGACGCATTTCTGACGACCCAAACGAAGGGCTTATTCGATGCTTCCAACCCTAAACCTAGCTCTATCAGCTGTGAGGTGGCCATCCTTGATAAGCTTCCGAGGCAAACGTAGACGACGGAACTTGGCTCGTGAGAATCGAGCCATTTCAAGCACTCGTGCTCGTCGATCGAGGCTCTGTTGCCTCTTTCGGCCTTGTCCAACTCGTCTTCGTTGCACAGCGAAACGGGGCCTACACACCATAGCTTCTTGTTTTCTTTCAGTTTCATGTACTTCTCGACGTATCGAGGTTCGAGTTCTTGAAAAGTGTTGGCCACTGTGCCGAGTGCTTCGACCTCGGATTCCCGCATCTGGTTTCGTATGTCGATCCAATCGGCATCGATTGCCTTAGCAGTGCCCCTCAGCTGAGCTTTAGTGATCTCGATTCTATCAGGCAAGCCGGGCACGACAAAATACTCCGTGTCGGAAGCCACGTCTTCGAAATCTTTCGAAGCCGCCAGAACGTGCATGCACACGAGAGAAAAGCAGCTAAACCCGTGGAATAGAAGCCTAGGAATACCCAAACTTAGAGCGACGTCGGTCGTCCACGTGTAACACATGTCGGAAATTAAACAACTCGGATAGGGTTTGAGGTGTTGGAGGATTTGTTTGACCTGGTCTTTGAGCATGGCGGTGGCTTTGAAGAATTTGAGCGCCTCGTCCATCGAAGAGATCATGTCGAAATTCTCGCAGCCTTCGGGGAGACCGGCTTCGGCGCCGGGGAGTTTGATGTGGAGGAGACGAATGCTCAGCCCGGACGAAACTGCGCGGTCGATGACCGTTTCGAATCTTTTGCCGTTTCCGGGAGTGATTAGGATCGACACGACGACGCCTCGTCTGGACAGCAATCTGGCAATATCCACCATGGGAATCATGTGGCCTTGTGCCATGAATGGAAATAGAACAAAATGAGGTTGTTGTTCATAATTTGCCATTGTAGTAAGTACTCTGTGTTGTTGATCTATTGTTGTTTGGTGATGATGATGTAAGAGCTTATGAATATTTAGCTAAGTACAGTTTTTTTTTTTTTTTTTTTTTGGTTGTGGGATTGAGATTTTGTGGATGAATTTGAATGAGAGATACATGTGTGATTTATATATATCTAGACTGGCAGATTTGAAGAGAAGAGAACAAAACGAAATTGGACAGTGGTTTATATCCAAGTAATTAATTAATTAATTAATCTTGGGCTACAAGAAATATGGTTGTGGTTGACAGTGGTACAGCATTGCGTGTTATGGTGCGGACGCATGTTAACTGTTATAGCGAAAGGACTGGAAGCCTAATTGTTGGCGTGGGAATCTTTTATGGAGAAATGACAATGATATATGATGTTGGGTAACATCTAGAACGCAGTGCCTATATGATATTTGGTTTATATAATTTTTTTAAAAGGTTTTTGTGAAGTTGTTCTCACCAACTATCTTTATTATTTTAGGGAGTTAATAGCACAGACTCTCTGCGTTATTTTTAATTGGCATAAAAGCCCTCATAATAAAATAATTAGCAAAGAGTACCCCTTACATTTGGTTTTATATAGCACACCGCCTCTTTTACCGATTTAATTGTTTATTTAAATGAAATGACAAAATTAACCTTAATTTAAAAACGCATTATACTGAAAACCCAATTAAAAAATTCATGAAAAAAAAAACAAGAAGAATAGAGAAGAGTCTTCTTGTCTTCCCCTAAACCCACCTCCATCCCAAAATAATTCTTCTTCAACAACCAGTAAATTAGCCATTTTCACTGTTGCCCTTCTTCCTTCAATCTTCCATCACCATACCCAACTGCCATTACCTCCACTCGCCGCCGCCCCCGCCCCATACTCTGTCGGTGTTAGCCGTCTACCACTCACAATCCAAATATGTCGTCCACCACCGCACATTGCACACTTGAATCTCAGACAGACGGAGTCCACCATCGGCGTCCCACGAAGTTCTGTCATAGTCGCATCTCAAATTCGTCGCCAGAAATCTGTGCAACATGCTCGTGCCCCTTCTTCGTCGACGGATTGTGATGTAGTGGTGGTAATTGATTTGGTGGAACTATGGAATATGTAGCCGGTTGAAGTGGTGGGGGTTTCTCAGGAGAGATGGAACAGAGGAAAGGAGATGCTTAGGGGATGTTTGGTTATGTTTCTAATGGGATATTCTAGTTTTCAAAATTTCTGATGGAAAAAGTAGATGTATTGGTTTTTGTGTAGGAAATGGGAATATGTTTGGATGAAGTGGTATTTCTAGTTTTATGTCGGTGTACAAATGAGAATATGTTTGCTTGTTGTGAGTTTTCTCTACGAGTACGTGCAACAGTAAAATATAATAATAATATTTTATTATTATTATTATTATTATTATTATTATTATTATTATTATTATTATTATTATTATTATTATTATTATTATTATTATTATTATTATTATTATTATTATTATTATTATTATTATTATTATTATTATTATTATTATTATTATTATTATTATTATTATTGTTATATTATTGTTATTGTTATTATTGTTATATTATTGTTATTGTTATTATTGTTATTATTATTATTATTATTATTATTATTATTATTATTATTATTATTATTATTATTATTATTATTATTATTATTATTATTATTATTATTATTATTATTATTATTATTATTATTATTATTATTATTATTATTATTATTATTATTATTATTATTATTATTATTATTATTATTATTATTATTATTATTATTATTATTATTGTTATTATTATTATTATTCTTGTTATTATTATTGTTATTATTATTATTATTATTAT